GTATCCAGGGGTTTTTTCTTTTAGTGTTAAGACTAAGTTGGTCAGAGCACCTGTCTTGGGAACAGCAGGTGCTAGGATCAAATTCAAACTGCACCTTTCCCTTAGATTATGGGAAAGTGGCTTTCTGATCTGAAACTCTTTCAATGGCCGATAGCATATGTTTGTCCTGATTTCCATTTTCCGAGCTGACTCTGGGTTTGGATGACATGGTCAGGTTTGAGACATGATCATCCAGACTCTAAAAGACTGCGTCCGTCTTGTCAGCATTTTCAGCATCCTGACATGCTGGTTTTTGTTGTGTATTATTTTTTCTTCTTCGATTTTTGTTATCGGGCAAATGTCTCTTACTGTGAAATTCTGTGGCGCTGTGGCTTAGCTGGTCAAAGCGCCTGTCTTGTAAACAGGAGATCCTGGGCTCAAATCCCAGCAGCGCCTTAGTCCAGGTGGTGCGTGTGCTTGTTTTATAGAGCTCACCGGAATGAATTATAAAATTGTATAGCTTTGAGGCGTAATGAATAGTGCGACAAATAGAGTTAAACAACCTCTTTTCTTGCCATTTTAAGACTTGCTGTCTTTTTTTAGTCTCTGTGTGCAAAAACGTCTTGCCTCCTATTCAGCGTTGGCGTTGTGGCTTAGTTGGTCAAAGTGCCTGTCTAGTAAGAAACTTGGCTGAGGCCAAGATGGCGACAGGTGGAACAGGTGTTGTCATAACGCTCCTAGTCTACTGTTATTTTACAGCTTGACAGCGGCTATTCGTGTGGATCCGGTTCGGATGTTTTGCAGCATCTATCCACTGTCTTATCATAATGACAATCCGCATATATACAAGGATCTGGGCTACAAACGAAAAGGTAATGAACTGGCAAAGACAAGTACAGGCTATGGAACTTATGCACTGGCTGTGACCATGGTATACCCATCGCTGTACAACAAGATCACAAAGAAAAAAAAAAGCAATGACAACTACACAATCGTCACGGACAGGACTTATTATCGCAATATGCTTGATGTTATCTGGGGATATCCACCCATGCCCAGGCCGCACCACTTCAAGACGCCGAGAGAGGCTAACCCACAAACGGAGGACAAACGCGCTACTCTTACCTTACAGGTATGCTCTTCATGTACACTTTTGTGTTCGTCTGCACAACAGGCTAATCCTCTGCATTCTCTCTGCCCGACGCCAAATACGCTCAAGCTGTCTGTCCAGGGGGTAGAGTGTGTGAAAGGCGCGGCCGCGGTTCCGGGGTGGTCGAATGGCGAGCGGCAGGGGGAAAAAAACGCATCCGAGGTTGTGTGTCAGCATGTCGGACAGAAGCTTCGGTCGGGAGTTCGCTGGACGGGTGTGTGCGTTTCGTGGAAACGAGAGACCTGATCCAGAAACGCAGCAACAACAACAACAAACTTTTTTGAATGACAGCGCGAGCACCATGGCAACGAACAGTGTAAACAGGAAACGGCTCAACCAAGGGGTTGTCAAAAACTGGAAACATGCGTTCTTTAACACTGTTAATAATTCAAAAATTGTGTGGGATCCTTAAATGAAACCCAAAGGTCTTTTAGGTGGGCATTTAAATATAAGAAGCATTTTATCTAAATCTGAACAAATTACCCATCTGTTAACTAACTCAAACCTGGAATACCTTTGCCTATCTGAGACATGGCTGTACAAATATGCCCCTTCTGTGGCACTTAACATATCTGGCTATACAATGTTCAGAAAAGACAGAGAAGGAGCAAAAGGTGGTGGTGTTATGATATATGTAAAAGATAATCTCCAATGTGAGGAAATCAATTGGCTTTGTGATTATGAATTAGAATGCTTGGGTTTAAATGTCAGACTATCACCCCAAATGTCATTTACAATCATTGTGATTTATCGTCCCCCATCTTCGGATGGTACTTTTTATGATAGGTTTGAAAAGTTACTTAAAGAAAGTAACTTAAATAAAGAAACTGTTATTTTAGGGGATTTTAACATAAACTGGGAGGATACATCTTGTAGAAACAAACTTAAAAGAATAACTGACAAATTTGACCTTGTTCAAATGATAAATGGTCCCACAAGGATCACCACTTCAAGTAGTACTCAGATTGATCTAATATTTACCAACCGACCTGAAAGGATAATTAAAACCTCTAATATGTTAGCTGGCATTTCTGACCACAATTTGACACTTGTGGCCAGAAAACTCTCCAAAAAGAGATTTCAATTTTCTGCCAGAGAACATGAATTTATAGGAATACCAAGAAATAGAAGGGAAGGATTTAAAAATGCTGTAGAGCAAATTTACTGGGACAGAATATTACTGGGTACTGATCTTGAAAAGGACCGTGGATCTTTTGTAGGAACAATCGAGAAAACAGTTAAAGAATTCAGCACTAAACTTAAATGCAAACACAATAAAAATATACTACCCTGGATTAACTCTGACATACTAAAACTAATGAAAGAGAGAGATTTTGCGTAAAAAAAGTAATTAAGAGTAAATCGGCTAGTGATAGAAACATGTTTACAACATTAAGAAATAGAGTAGTTAAAAACATACGAAAAGCCAAAGCTGATTATTTCCTAACATTAATAGAAAAAGCAAAAGGGGATTCTAAAACAATCTGGAACCAACTAAAAAAAGTTGTTAGACAGGATACAAAAAACAAAAAGATGTTGGAAGTTATGATAGATGGGCATATCACAAATAACGCCTGCAAAATTGCAGAGGCCTTTAATAATTTTTTGATTAACTCAGTTTCAAATATGGTCCCATTGTGTCCATCAAAAATTTCTAACATGTGTTCTTTAAATAGTTCACAGCCAATTTCGCAGCCAAGTAATATCTCAGAATCTGATGCCTTACAGGCAATAAAATCTCTCAAATCCTTCAGAACTAAAGATACTTTTGGTATAGACTCTCTTATGTTGAAAGAACTTAGTTCTACACTATTAACCCCAATAACTAAACTTCTCAATCGTTCCATTTCTGAGGCAATATTTCCATGTGTATGGAAGTCATCTGCTGTCATTCCAATTTTTAAAAACGGGGATCATCAGTCACTTTCCAACTATAGGCCAATCAGTATTATTCCCACTGTGTCTAAAGTTGCAGAGAAACTCATTGCCAATCAATTAATTAAACATCTAAACACCACTACATTTTCTCTTCATCCAATGCAATTCGGTTTCAGATCTCAACACTCCACTGAGACTGCAAATTGTTTTCTCATAGAAAATATTAAACATCTACTGGATAAAGATGGTGTAGTTGGTGCTGTGTTTCTTGACCTGAAAAAAAGCTTTTGACACTGTAAATCATAAAATATTATTGTCCAAATTAACTAAATTTAATATGTCACCAGAGTCATTGAAGTGGTTTTAATCATATTTATCAAATCGATCACACTCAGTGAGAATTAAAGATTATCACTTATCCCGCTCTCTCTGCCCACGGGTGTACCTCAAGGTTCCATTTTGGGACCTTTATTATTTTCTCTCTACATAAATGACCTTCCTTCAGTCTGTCTAAATGCCCTGATTCAGATGTATGCAGATGATACAGTTATTTTTACACATGGTAAAAACACGACCCAAGTAGCAGAAAAACTTACACAAGCTATGGCTCATGTCTCAGAATGGTTAAACCAGTCTTGTTTAAAACTGAATGTAAGCAAAACTGTTACAATGTACTTTTCTAAAACAAACATAGTAAATAATCTAACAGACATCTACGTGGATGGGGACAAATTACAAATTGTATCTGATTTTAAATATCTTGGGGTCCAAATTGACTCTAAATTAACATTTAAATCACAAATTAAAAAGGTATGTAACCGTGTTAAATTCAATATAACTAATTTCCGGTTCATAAGGTCACATTTATCATTGCAGGCAGCTAAAATATTCATGCATTCAATGATTTTATCACATATAACCTACTGTCTAACAACCTGGTCACAAGCAAATAAAACAACACTAAAACCCATAGAGTCACTTTACAAACAGTCAATTAAAATACTGGATAAAAAGCCTCTAAGACATCATCATTGTAGCATTTTGCAAAAACATAAACTGTTAAGCTGGGAAAATGTCATTAAGTACTCAAACATTTGCCTGTTGTATAAAATCATTCATGGTCTGTCATCCCCACCTCTCAGTCAGTTTGTAAACATCAGGAACAGCACACACAGAGCAACACGAGGGACAGCCCGAGGAGACTGTATTGTCCCACTCCGGAAAAGTACCTTTGGTCAGGGTGCCTTTTCAGTTACAGCTGTCCATGGCAGTATCAGAGATATAACCTCATTTAATATATTCAAAAAACATTTAAAAACCTGGTTTATAGAGAATCAGGTGTGTCATCATTCTGATTAAATTGAAACTAGCATGTTTTTGATTGTGCCCACCATCTTAATGATCTGTTGTTTAAATGTGTTTCAACTACTTTTATCTCTATTATAAAATGTTGGTGTTTTAGCTTAATTTGTAAATATTCTCTTTTAACATCTATATGACCATGTCTATTTTAGTACTTTTTAAATGTTTGATAGATTGTATAATTTTTGTATTGTTTTTTCTAGGTTGTTAAGGGACAACAGATGAAAAATAGCCTTCGGGCTAATTCTGGTGCATTGGCAGAAATGCTAATTAATGTACACTGTCCCTGCCAAATAAACAAATAAATAAATAAAATAAATAGTAAACAGGAGATTCTGGGTTCAAATCCCAGCAATGCCTAATGTACAGGTTTCATGTTTGCTTTTTGTTAAGAGTAACGAGTGTTTACGCAGCGGGATGTTTAGCAGTCGGTTTCTTAACAAAACTCAAATCCTTAAGAACGCTGCTCGTTCAAGAGGGCTTTGGACGATGGCTTTATATAGCATAGTGTGGTAATGCCTAACCAATTGGACTTTAATATTTCAAGTCCAGACATTCCCACATGCAGCGCTACCGTTGTTAATTTTTTTATTTTTTCGAATTAAACAATTAGGCCGTGTCAAGGTCGTTTGGCGCTGTGGCTTAGTTGGTCAAAGTGCCTTTCTAGTAAACAGGAGATCCTGGGTTCGAATCCCAGCAGTGCCTTGTCTGCAGTTGGCTGTTCTTTCATGGGCCAGAGAGTACTAAAAAGTGCTTTCTGTGCAAAAGTGCTAGAGGAAGCAGAGCAGGCTCTGTGGCGCAATGGATAGTGTATTGGACTTCTAGGCTGTGAGCTGAGCCATCCAAAGGTTGTGGGTTTGAGTCCCACCAGAGTCGCAAGCATTGCTCTTTTTCTTCACTGACTTAAGGTGTGGTGCGTTTCTAACATTTTAGGCATCTGTCCATCCCGTTTTGCTTCTTTCTTTCATTGCGCAGTGCAGGCTCAGATACTAGGAGTACTCTACAATAAAGCCGATGACTTAATTGAGCTGTTTTAAATAAGGGAGATTAGAAAACAGTGTAGGGCCTAGTGGGCTTGAGGAATGACTCGTCGGCAACCTGTGGTTTTGGGGAAAAGTAACTGCCACCTATTGTTGAGATCACGCCTTTTGGATTTGTCGTACAAGAGCCTCTTTATGCATGTGCAAAGTAACTGAGTAGAAAGCACAGTAAATTTTGCTTCCCCCCCACTGTCTTAGATGAAACTGCGTTTGGAAGTATCGTATCAAGAGGTTTTTTCTTTTAGTGTTAAGACTAACGGCTGCCTCACACCGCAAGCATCAGCAGCACGTGAGCAGAGCACGAGTGTCTGCCTATTGTTGCAATTCAATTAGTTCATGCTTGTTTATAAAAGTAAGGCCTACTGTGTTTGTACATTTATTTTGAACATTTAATAAAAAAATTAAATAACATAAAAATTAGATCTAGTATATAACCCCAAATCATTTTTTCTTTTCTTTTAATTTTGAAAATGTTGGTGGTATACAGTTTCTTTTAAAGTGTGACTTTGAGATTAATAGACTCATATTAGGCTGTCTACATACACACACACCACTTACAGACAGTACACATTATAATCAGCGCACATGAGCAGTGCAATATGTATTGCATATAAATAATAATTTAAATGAACAAAAAGCTGAAGTGCTTTAGTAGTCTGTTGAGTTCTGGAAGCAGCATTTAAGCTAACAAATCACTCACATTCTCTTTCACAATAGCAACACTGGGTTTCCCATACACCGATTTATCTGTAGTAATGTGGGAGTTCTCACATGAACATATCTTTAAAGGTAACCAGTTGCATACAGAAATTAAATGGTCTTCATAAAAAAAAAACTTGTTCCTTTCTTAAATCAGTCCATCAAAATAAATGTCCAGTGTTCTGAAACCAAAGTCTTCATTTGTTACCCAAAACCACATAATAATCTGACACAAATCTGATCTGTTGCAACTGGGAAATGTCATTGTGTAGTCTGAACAGGGTTTAGGGAGTCTGCATCAGTCAGTCACTGTCAATACCTTATGGCGAGTTCACACCGCACGAGTTTAGCCGGACTTTCATTCGCCAACAGGTTTTATAAAGTGCAGACAAAAGCCCAAAACTTGGAGGCAAATCGGTGTTTGTTCACACGAGTGACAATAAAATAATATGAATGATTAAAAACACAATCTAAGGGTGTAGGACAGTTTCTCATCCCTAATCTTTCTATTTTTCTTTTTAGTGCCGACCATTTGAAGTGTGCAATGTGCATAAATATGGTTATTGGTTCATCATAAAGTTGAAACTCTTACAACCTGGTACTGCGCTGTGACCCATGATCTACACTACAAAAAAAAATCTTCACCCCGTCTTCAGTTATTGAGTTTAAATCTTCAGGTGTTCAAAGGGTTTCATTTTCAGTAACTTGATATGTATTCAAGAGTTCACACTTGTTTGGCATGCTGTCCCGGGAGATAGCTCCAAGCTCCGCTAGGCAAGGCCTCAATTTTGAGAACTCTGCTCTCCATTGTGAAGCTTCATGTGAGTGTTGAGGCTTCTTTTAGATTTAAAGCCTTTTCCACATTCACTGCATCTAAAACACTCTACTGAATGAGTCTTCATGTGGTTCTTAATGGAGTCTTTGCGTGTGAGACTCTTTCCACACTGATCACATGTGAACACTATGGTTCCAGTGTGAACATTCATGTGGTTCATGAGGCTAGATTTGGTTGTGAAGCTCCTTCCACACTGAGCACATGTAAATGGCTTCTCTCTGGTGTGACTTATCATGTGTTGTTTGAGTGTGCTTTTAAATCTGAAACTTTTACCACACTCTGTGCATGTGTAAGGTTTCTCTCCAGTGTGAATCCTCATGTGGATCTCAAGGTCTTGCTTTTGAGCAAAACTTTTCCCACACTGTGGGCAAGTAAAAATTCTGCCATCATCGTGAGCTCTAATGTGGGCTTCAAGGCTGCTATTTTGCTTAAAACTCTTTCCACACTGAATGCAAGAGTAAGGCTTTTCCACAGTGTGAATTCTCATGTGCGCTGCCAAGTTTGCTGATTGATAGAGGCTTTTTCCACACTGTAGGCATATGTACGGCCTCTCTCCAGTGTGAATTCTCATGTGCTGTGCAAAGTTTCCTGTAGTATAGAAGCGTTGTCCACACTGTTGGCATGTGTAGCATCTCTCTCCAGTGTGAGTTCTCATGTGGACTTTAAGGTAGCCATTTTGCTTAAAACTCTTTCCACACTGAGGGCAAGAGTAAGGCTTCTCCCCAGTGTGAACTCTCATGTGGACTTGAAGGTTGTGTTTTCGAGTGAAACAGTTTCCACACTGAACACAAGTAAAATTACATGCAGATTTGGATTTCCGAGGTCCTCCGCTTGATGAAGTCTTTTCAGTCAGTGTGGGTTTTTCATCAGTTGTTATTTCTTGGTGTTTCTCAAACTGTTTCTCTTCCGTTTTATTCCATTGAGTCTCTTCTTTCAGCAACATCAGATCTTAAAAAAAAAGTGAACTTTAACTGCTAGTGAGCATTAACTGGATGTTTTACCCAAAAATTAAAATGACCTTACCATTTACTCTCCGTCATGTGGTTTTAAACATTTCCTTTCTTCTGGAACATAAAGAAAGCGTTTTTATTTTATTTTAAATATTTTCTTTTGTGCTCAACAGAATTAAAAAAAAAACTAATAAAGGTTTAAAACCACACAAGGGAGAGTGTGATGAGGCATGATAGAATACAGGTCACAAAGAATATGGCAGAGCACTTATATGCAAAATGTAATTTATTGACAGTGTCCGTTCCTTATTACAGTCCATTCAAAACTGCTCATAAACCTGTACAAATTATATCCGTAAAAAAGATAGAAAAATAAAGAAACAAAAATCAAAACAAACAAACAAACTAGAAAATATATATTTACATGTAGAAATTACCGCTCCTTGCTGTTCAACCTTCCACAAAAACAGGTATAATACACTAGCACTATTTGCCTCCCACTGCAAAAGACCTCCTAAACAACCAACTGGTCTGACTATTAGAATAAATCCCTTCTATTACTGGCTTTTATACTAGATAAAATAATGCACCTTAATAGATGATCACATACATCACATTCAGATCATCTCCAGTATCATAACAGGTGTATTTAACAATATTATTATTATGTATTTTCTTATTTCGCTGGTTTTGTATTTCAATCTCTCCCCAAAAACAGGCAACATTAAGGCAATCCAGTCATCTGAGTGATCCCGCATGCGCGGTGTTGAGGTTTAGCGTTATCAAGCTTTCTAGGCAGCTACCGAAGTTTGCCAGTTGCTTTCGGTAACCTGGACTGCAACACCCCACAACAACGAAAGATGAGACCTGAAACTTGCAATAGTTCAATAAATATGTATGTGTAACCTATTTGGTGTCTGTGTGTGTATATTGGGAACATCTACAGATGTAGTGACGAGTGAATGAATGTGTGTGTGTGTGTTATATATGCAAAGATAATATTATCCCAACCTTTGTGTGCACCCAAGGGTTGGGAATGGCAGAATCATTGATGGTTATTAGACTGTGTGTAAATGAAATGATGTCCTGTAATGATCCTGAGAAAAATTAGTAAATGGTGAGGCAATTTTCATTTCTGGGTGAACTATGCCTTTAAAGCATGCGTCTCAAACTTGATTTCTTGAGTGCTCTGTGCTTGAGTGCTCTGTGCTCTGCACAGTTTTGCTACAACCCCAAACAAATACAGCTGATCCAACTAATCAAGGTCAGACTACTAGAGACTATTTTAGACATCCCAAGTCTCCAGGAAGTTCCAGGACTCTCCCACATATGCATAGGGACTCCGGAGTGCCCGCAAACAAAGTGCCGGTGGTCATCGGGAGAATCCTGCTCTGCCCCCCTCATATTCACTCGCATGCTTTCCTGCAAACACAGAAAGATGTAATTCAGCGCGTAACGAGGCTGAGCATTAAAACGACACGAACCGAAACCAAAACTTTTATAAGTGAGACTTTTCTTCCTTTCTTTTGTCGTTCTTTCTTGAGGTGTATTTTATTTTTCTATTTATTACTGATGACTGCTTTACAGCTTTCAGCATTGAATTGAATGATTAATTATATTATTTTGTTTGTTTTGTAGCAGAAATATTATTGATTAAATTGACACGCATATAAAAACAATAATACAAAATAAATATTTCTTACTGCAATGCTTCATTTGTGTTTGATGCAAACCATCAATTTATTTTTCATAAAGCAACAGTAGGACTTTATACAGCAGATAACTTACATTAAAGCACATTCAAGGCAGCATGATGATGAGAAATATAATCTATTATTAGTATTATTGTCATCATCGTCATCATTAATATTTTATAATTATTAGACATTCATTTTGGAATTATTGCAAAAATATTAAGTCATCACAGCATTAGTTAGATAGTTGTTTCTGGGTTTTGTTAGTCCCAATTGATGTTGTTTTCAAATACAATAAATACCTTAATATACAATTTGCAGCGGTGCTCATTCATTTTTGGTGGGTCCTAAATATTTCAGGTTGGGAGCACCGGTGCTACCAAGTAAGAAAGTTAATTTCGAGTCCTGCACAAGTCTCCAGTCTAGCTGGCACCCTACAGGCTTCAGTCTTGCCGGCTCCCCATAGACTCCTCTAGTCTGGCCAGCTGTCCTTGGGCCGCCTGCTTTTCTGTCCCAGGTCCATCCTCCCTGGGTCATCCCTCCTGCTCCGCCCTATATATAACTTAAAAACAGCAACTTCAGATTGTTTTCTTTGTTTTATTATAATCAACATAAAGCTGGAGCCCGAGGAGAGTGTGTTGAAAACAGTACAAGCACAACAACAATATTAATCATGAACACCTTACATTTATTAGAAGATTCTAAAGAAAATAATCACACAAACACACAATGCCTCAGTGATTTACACAACTGTTTCACAGATCACTAAACTATATCAGGGTGTCTCATGCAGCACTTTAAGTGGGGTTGCATAGTTTATTTGCTCTGATACCTGGCATCTTTTAGTTTTCACCAGCACATCAATATCAGGCATCACATTCTGAGTTGCAGCCAGCTTCAGGAAGTGCTCTGTAACATCCACCATGAATGAAAGGTCCTGCCTACATTCTACCAAATGAAACTCTAACACTGGTTTGTCCTTTCCTTCTATGAACTGTTCAGTTTCTTCTCGCAAACCAAAGAAGTCGCTTTGGATAAAAGCGTCTGCTAAATGTAAATGTAAAAAAACGCCTCAGCACAGCACCTCGGCTTAACTATCTTATGCTGCAACACAAGCTTGCGGCAATTCGTAACTATTTGATTTAGTGGATAATTCGTATAAATTAGTACAATCTAATTCATACAATTTAGTACGATTTGCTTATTAACCAATGAGGACTGGGTTTAGGGCTGGAGTTAGGTGACACACCTGATTTTTAAAATCTGACATTTTCATACAACTGAACTCGTATGAATCAGTCACTAAACTGACAAAACCTGAAATAGTTACGTTTCCTCGTGAGAATACTGACGTGTTGTACAGCAGGGCATAGATGTGGTCTTTCTCTTTGAGAAGGCTATCAAATTGAGACTGATTCAGGATCAGACGAAATGATCAGTTTGTGATTTGCTATTGTGCCATCTACTGGAACAGCAGTTTCTTTTATTGATAAATTGCAGCTCATTTTTATTCTTTACAGAATCATCTCACCGGCCAGATTAAACCCATTTGTGGGCCTGATACGCATGGACCGTACTTTTGACACCCCTGCACTAGACTAAACTCAACATTGGCTTTAATGAAGGTAAAGAAAATGATTAATGTGGTCACTGTAGAGTTAGAGAAATGGTAGAACGGTATATTATTGTAGAAAATATATGCAAGAGAGGAGGAAATTAATTAAATATTTAAATAATATTGGACATGAAGAGAAACATAATATAAATTAGAGATAAAGGTTAATAACGATAGATGGTGTATATGGACAAGGTGTATATATACAGTATATATTAATTTATTCATTTTCCTTCTGATTATTCCCTTATTTATCAGGGGTCGCCACAGTGGAATGAACTGCCAACTATTCCAGTATCCAGTAATCCATGTTTTACACAGCGGATGCCCTTCCAGGTGAAACCTAGTACTGGGAAACACCCACACACACTCACACTTAGACCTTAAGGTTAAATTAAGTGAAGCTGAAGTCAAAACTATAATAAAGATTCAGACAGAGAGTATAAGCCAGGGACACTGGGATATAAATGACTCAGGAAGACATCTGTGTACAATCCAATGGTGAATCTGTGAAGGAAGAGAAATGGGGAATAATCGGAGGGAGGAAATGGTCATAACCGCCTCAGAATAGCACATACAGGACTAAACAAGATACTGAGTTTATAGGGAAGCACACACATGACTTATACTCACATTGTAATCAGTGTGAAACATGTGCAGCATGTAATAACAGAATGTCAAGATTATCAATACAAAAGACAAATATTAAGAAAAGTATTTGTCAACATATGGAGGCTACAATAATTCCCCTTTATTTATTTAAGCAGCAATGTTTTCCCTTGGTTTTATAGTGTGGTTTGTTTTTCTCGTGTTTCTCTCCATGTCAGACTCCTGTACCGCACTCCAGTCCAGCAGGTGGCGGTAAAGCGCATTTAAGTTTGACAACCGCCAAAATACTGAAGAAGTTGACAAACCGAAAGCGTCAAAGAGCTCACATCGTGTTCCTGCTGCACAAGAGCGTCTGTACTTCTGCATGTGAGTTTAACACTTCTACATTAGGCTGATTTGTGGAGATGATGAAGGGTTTATATGTGTAAGCGTGTTTATAAGCGTGATTTATAGCACTGTCTGCTCCTGAAGCTCAAAGCAACACCGATTAAACACGTCCAAACACGGTCATTTGAACAATATAATGGGTTATTTTCTATCGCTTAAAAGTGTTTGTGCTCTTCTATATCAGGTTGACTCGAAAATTTCACATCATTTAGCACAAAATAAACTTTAAACAGTCAGGAAATCGAAAGTGAAAGCAGAGCTTCCGTTAACCGGAAGAGTGCCGATGATCCTTAAACTGCAATAACTGTCCCCATCATTTCTTCCTCAAGCAAATGTGTAAATTTTAGATCTGTTCAACATTAATGCTAATTGCATTGGCATATTTATCTGATGTTTTCCCAGCTTGCAGTAGTCGATCAAAAAGCTGTTTAGTTTCTTATGACTGTATGTACACTAGCAGTGGAATTTACTGCGATGTGAAGGGGCGCCCCCTGAAATCTTGCCTAGGGCGCCAAATGGTTGGGGCCGGGCCTGCTGGTAACGTTTCAATACTAACTAACTATTAATTAAGCAACTAAGCATAAATAAAATAATAAGTTAATAGCTGTCTAAAGCAGAAGTTATTGTGACAGACAAAGTCGTATCAAATGATCAAATCTGAAATATCTGAGGTGTCAGATGAGACTGTGGTAAAGTTGGTTTTATATTCGCACATTCGTTCAATGACAACTTGTGACACACTCCCTATAGTGTTTACCATGATACTTTGAATAATCGGTGTGAATATGATGTGAATATGATTTCAAAACAACCTTAGCACCATTAATTTGACTAAACTTAATGCTTATATGATTTCACAATTTAGCAAAGAACACTTCTTAATCAAGGAGAAATTCTGAAAGTGTGAAAATAAAACTAGCTTTACCTCAATTCAGATCATGGGTGTAACCAACTGCATAAATTTTAATCTAAATCATTATATACATATATATACATATATACATACATATATATATATATATATATATATATATATATATATATATATATATATATATATATTTCTGATGTGAAATGGCTGAAAGTCAGTTTGTGCTATCCCTCATCATGCGGTCTGTTTCAGTAAGGTGTTGTTTGTGGTGTCCCTCATCATGTGGTCTGTTTCAGTGCAGTGTTGTTAGTGAAGTGAGCATTGATTGCTATAAAGTGTGCTGTTCTTCATCTCAGTATATTGTCATCTCCAGGTGATGGTCAGCGGCTGATTGTTTGCTGAAAGCTCTGCTAATGTCTGCATTGGTGTTTTAGCTGCAGTATGGCAGAGGAGCGAGTAAAGGACTCTCTCTCAGAGAAACACAGGTATTGACTCTGTTTTTACACCATTATTTCAACACTTTCTCTGAAAAACAAAGACCAACAACAATGCACTTATTTGTGTTGCTATTGCCAGATCAAATGATGGACAAAGCTTCAGTTTACAGCTTCAGCAAATGTGTTTAGATCACTCTAGATCAGTGGTTCTCAAACTTTTTTCACCAAGTACCACCTTAGAAAAAAATCGTCTCTCCAAGTACCACCTTACGACGCTATTTTTTAACCAGTATTAAAAAATAGCGTTTTAAGCCTAATTAAGCAGCTACAGGTGTGCACAGTTTTAAAACGATGCAGATTAATTCCTATTAGTAAGAATATGTATTATTGTCAGTCACTTTAAACATTTGAAATAGTCTGAACATTAACTGTGCTTGCAGATAAAAAAAAAGTTTTAGTTAAAATGTGCTTTTAAAAGTTCATAAAAAAATGGCGTTGTTCTTAAAAAGTAAAAAGAAAACTGCTGTACTTAAATCTAAAGTATTCATAGTAGCCTATTCATCAAAAGCTGGAAATGCTGCTTGGACCTTATAAATATAGGCTATATGTCATATTCCTACACTTTCAGACTAATCTTGAAATAAATGTTAAAAGTACATGACAGGGTTCATACAGGCACAGCCTAATGAAAATCAATTCCAGCACCTATTTTTTTTTCAAGACTGACATGCTATGTATTGAAGACCTGAAATGTATTCTCAGCAACCCATAAAACATTGCATAGGAATAGATACAAATAAAAACCATTAATAATAATATTTATTAATCATATATTAATAGTATAATAAACCTGCACTAAGTTCTTGTGAAATCTTTTTTGTACTCAAGTAAAAATACTTTTAAACTGCTAAAATACATTTTTTTAGTAAATAATACTAATATTAGGTAAAAGTACAAATTACTCTTTTAAAAAGTACTAGATGGTTACTTTTGAAAAAAAAATCTGATTTTCATTATGAAATCACTTTTTTTTAAGTGTAAACCTAATTTAATGGTTTGATTGCTTACATCCCAAAGCTACATGTATAATTTGCACTAACAAAGGAAGTATAGTCAATTTTTCCTTTCATGACAATTAATCTTTTTCAATAGCACTGGTAAAACTACCAAATAATCTTTAAGGCCATAGAGACACTTATTGCCCATTTTTAAAAATATATATTTTTAAGCTTTGAAAGGTTAAATTAAAGTATATGGTAAAAAGATTTAAATTTAGCCTTTTATTTACATATTTTACACTATTTTCTTTACAATATGGCAAATTTGTTTCTTAAATAGCTGTACATCACATGTAGATTTTATTTTACACTTGATCTTAATCTAAAATAGAAACTTAAAAAAATACAAGTACACTGTCAGTAAAAAAAACAAACAAATGACTTCATTTTACTTGAGGTATTTGAAATATGACAACAATACATTTATCAAAGCAGTGCTTTAAGAGCCTTATTGTAAATTGTGATAAATAAACAATAAGTAGGCTAACAATGGATTGCTTTGACCTGTAATGCTTTAGGACAGATCAGAATACAGCTAAATGTATAAATCACACAAATACCTCATCCAGAAACATTTCCAGCATAATTATTTTGTCGTAAAGAAATAAAAAATGTTACACCTTTGCTAAAAGTAAGTTTCACTTTACAACACAGCCAAATAAGAAGACCATTAGCATTGTCATCGATCATGTATCAATCTATTTCTAAATATTTGATCACTTTGAATACTTTTGACTAAATTTAGTTAAGGAACAAAGATAAATAATGTATACTTTAATAGTGGAAAGATCGCGATTGTATTCAATCTGAGCACACATGCGATCCTGAGAGGACTTGCAGTTCATTTGAAAAAAGCCTATTTAAGAGCTCGCATATCTGTTTTAGCGATTTGTGTACATGAATGCGCTGTCGTGTTAAAATAAAGCACTCGCCTCATTTGCAGAAATGAGTTATTGTGCTATACCTCCATTCCCGCGCCGCCATTCAGAATGTATTTAGAGGAGTGACAGGTCAGAGGCGAGTCGACTGGCTGTCGGAGAGCGAAACGTGTATGAAGATCATCAAATAGGCAGGAAATATGTCCGCGGTTTAATTACTCTGCTAGACATCTCTGTAGTGAAAACATCCGAGAAGCATTATTCCAACAAAACATTTGTTTTTAAGTTGTTTTTTCTGTCTCTGCAACACAGACAGCTTTTGTCCCGCCCTTACGTTTCACGCAACTAGACAAGGTCGACTGTGATTGGCCACTTTTCATGTCAGTCAAATCACGCTTCAGATTCAATTCTTAAACTTCGGAAACTGATTTTCAGCAGCTTATGACACAATGCACTAAAATAAACATTCTAAGCACAGCGTTGTGATCGTACGCTTCACAAAACAGCCAATGCTGATCACATCAATGTTATATTATGCATTAAAGGATTAAAAGTGTTAATTGTTTCTTTCATTATTCAGCGATTCCTCCGCGTACCACTAGGAGGAAGCCCGCGTACCACTAGTGGTACGCGTACCACAGTTTGAGAACCACTGCTCTAGATTACAGACAGCTTTACCAGAGCCCAATGTGTGTCAAGTGTAGGGCCAGACAGAATCTGCAGGCGTTTTTTGCTATTTCTGTGGAGAATTTTGGTAAAAAATCTGTGGATTTCTGCGGAATGATTTTGGGAGTATCATGACTAAAACTTTAATATGTGAAATAAAAATAAAATAATATCTTTTAAACTTTTATTTAAATGCAAATCCAATAAGATTCACTTTATTTGGTAAACAAAGCAAGTGTCTCATATAATATCTCTACTAAAAGACTGAAAATATGACTGTACAAACTGCATTGTGCATAAATCAGATAAACATTTTCATATTAGTCAATGATATTACTTTAATTAATTAATTAATTAATCTGTGGAATTCTGCGTGCACAGATTCCGTGTGGGCCTAGTCATGTGTCTGTTTACCCATGATATCTGTGTAGCAGACCTGATCAGACAGACTTTCAGCCAACTATTAGTTTGTGCTGAATTAAACTACACAAACTCAATAAACTCTTAAAAGTGTCTCCTGCAGTTTATTCATCTGGTGTGATTGTGTGTTCAGTGTGAGATCAGGATCATGTGTGTCCAGCTCTGTGTCTCTGAAGAGTGACCAGTCTAAAGAAAATCCTCTACCAAACTTCAGAGAGAAAAGACCATCATCTGCCAAAAGGTATGAATGATTTTTTTTTTTTAAATCACGTGTCATTCAATCTTCTAAAAACACATTTTTTTTAACAATAAATAAAGTACCACAAATTCATAAAACTATTATTATCACCCCTTAGACCAGGGATGGGCAAACTTGATCCTCGAGGGCTGGTGTCCCTGCAGAGTTTTGTTCCAACACTAGTCAAACACACCTGAACAAACTAATCAGTGTCTTCAAGATCACTTAATCTCTATAGGGAGGTCTGTTTGAATAGGGTTGGAGCTAAACTATGCAGGACACTGGCCCTCCTGGATCAAGTTTGCCCACACCTGCCTTAGACAGTTTGTAAGGTAATTAATATTTAATGTTTTATGTTAATGCATTAGTCTAATGAAGCTGATCTTACACCAAAACCCCCGTTAACCAGGTTTCCAACTATTTATAGACCTATTTAAGACCTTTTTTAATATAGACTAATATTAATATAATGACAAATGGCACTTCAATTGTTGCTTTATTAAACTATAAAGAAAAATAAAATAAAATACAAGCTAACTTTATTGTTATTTTTAGACATCCAAAACGTAAACATTAATTTCTAGTTCATAAGAAATAACCTTCTTGCAATACACAAGTGTTTCAGGTAGTGCAGCTCATCCTGGATGACTCTTCAATGTGAACTGTGGCAAGAATCATATCGATCCTACCATCAATAACGTTCTGCTGCCTGCAACATCCTCCAGCATGATTGGTGTGATGTGGGGTGGCATTTCTGATGCAGATGTAGTGTTCGCCAGAGGTAGCCTTAGGTACCGAGATTAGATCCACAGACCCCTTGTAAGACCATATACCTGTGCTGTCGGGCTCTTCCTAAAGCAAGACAACGCTAGACTTCATGTGGCTGGAGTGCTATCGGTTCTTGCAAGACTAAAGCGTTGATTCTATGGACTGGCCCGCTTGTACCCAAGACCCTGAATTCAATTGAGCACATCTGGGACATCAAATCTCGTTCCATTCACCAAAGCCACATTGAACCACAGACTGTCCAGGATTTGGCAGATGCTCTAGTCCAGGTCTGGGAGGAGATCACTCAGGAGATCATCCACCACCTAATCAGGAGGATGCCCAGAAATTGTAGGCATGTGGAGGCCACACACTCTACTGAGCCCCATTTTGACTTGTGTCAAGGGCATTGCATCAAAGTTAGATCAGCCTGTAGTGTGTTTTTCCTCTTCAATTTTGAGTGTGAATCCAAATCCAGACCTCCATGGGTTAATAAATCGGATTTACATTGATAATTTCTATGCGATTTTGTTTTCAGCACATTCAGCTATGTAAAGAACAAAGTATTTAATAAGAATAGTTCATTCCTTCAGATCTAGGATGTTATTTTAGTGAGCAGTGTATTACTGCAATGACAAATGACAGACTTTTTTGTTTGTTAAACTATAGAACAAATAAAAAACACACAGGCTTGTTTAGTTATTATTTTTTTGACATCCAAAAAGTAAAATTCGGCATGATTAGGGACATTTATGAGCAAATATTAAACATTGAGAGTGATACAAGTAATGCTTCTTTAACTACAGTGAACACTTAAACTAATCTAACACACATTCAGCTGCTATAGGAAGAGGCAACACAAGTGAAGAATAAAGGTTTAACCTTAGCTAATTGAGCTCATAGGAAATTATGAATGAATGCAGCAGATTATGAGGCTCCTTTTCCTCTGGTGTGTTTGTCTTCAGTGTGAGATCAGGATCATGTGTGATAAATTATAATATATATATATATATACAACAGTTCTGCCTGGTTCTTGAACCTGATTGGCTGATAGCCGTAACTGCAATAACAGCACTGGTCCAGCTTCACCCTTCTGTATTACTCCACCCACATACACTAACAAGCAGAGGACCATCTACAGTTTGACAAATATTCCTGCTGTTATTTAGTGGAGAATGTAGTTGTTTAGATTGCAACAATGCAGTTTATTTATAAGGATAGTGCCTATTTTTAAATATTTATAATTTCTGACAGTACATCAGCGGCCATTAGCCTGCCATACTGAGCTGACCAAAGACGATTGACATTGTCTGTCCTTAAGATGGTGACAGTGACTGCATAATACGCCCTTAAAACAGGGGCCACCAAACTTGTTCCTGGCAGCACGATGTCCTGCAGATTTTAGCTTCAACCCTAATCTAACACACCTGAACAAGCTAATCAAGCTCTTACTAGGTATAATTGAAACTTCCAGGCAGGTGTTTTGAAGAAAGTTGGAGCTAAAGTTAGCAGGATACCAGCCCTCCGACTTTGGACATCCCTGCCTTAAAATATTAAAACACCCAAATTTCTAACTAAAGCTGATCAAATCAGTATTAAACTGGTAAGCATACCTGCCAACACTCCCATTTTTCCCAGGAGTCTCCCGTATTTCAGACCAATCTCCCGCAACCCTCCCGTTTGTTTTTCTCCCAGAAAACTCCTGTAATTTCACCCCACTCCCTTTTTTGGTACAGTCTGTAACACCCCCAGGTCTTTAACTTTGGTACAGTATCCGATCGCAGCGGCCACACAAAATCCAATGCATGATACAGTTACTAACACCAGAGTATGGTTACTTTCCTATCCCAGTTCTCAACAGTGTTATTCAGAGACCTCAACTCAACCCTGTTGTATAAACGCAATATCACACTCATAACAGTGCAATATGGCTGTATATCAGCACTGGTGGGACACGAACGCACGCCTCTCACCAGTGCCGATATACAGCCATATCACACTGCTATGAATGTGATATCGCTTATATATATATATATATATATATATAATTCAGCCCCCCTGAATTATTAGGACCCCTTTATTTTTTTCCCCAATTTCTGTTTAACAGAGGAAAGGTTGTTTCAGCACATTTCTAAGCATAATAGTTTTAATTACTCATTTCTAATAACTGATTTATTTTAGCTTTGCCATGATGACAGTAGGGCGAAGCAGTGGCGCAGTAGGTAGTGCTGTCGCCTCACAGCAAGAGGGTCGCTGGGTCGCTGGTTCGAGCCTCGGCCCAGTTGGCGTTTCTGTGTGGAGTTTGCAGGTTCTCCCTGCGTTCTCGTGGCTTTCCTCCGGGTGCTCTGGTTTCCCCCACAGTCCAAAGACATGCAGTATAGGTGAATTGGGTAGGCTAAATTGTCCGTAGTGTATAAAGTGTGTGAATGTGTGTGTGGATGTTTCCCAGAGATAGGTTGCGGCTGGAGGTTCATTCCGCTGTGGCGACCCTGGAGTAATAAAGGGACTAAGCTGACAAGAAAATGAATGAATGAATGATGACATTAAGTAATATTAGACTAGATATTCTTCAAGACACTTCTATACAGCTTAAAATGACATTTAAGGGCTGAACTGGGTTAATTAGGTTAACTAGGCAGGTTAGGAGAATTAGTAGGCCCACACGGAATCTGCGCCAGGCAGAATTCCGCAGTTTTTTAGCCCATCATTATTTCTGTTTATTTACTTGAGTAAATGTGTATGGTCTAGAGTAACCTAATAAAAATGTTTTGTTGGACACTGCACACTAGTCTACACTATCATCAATATTATAATTTATTATATTCATTATTACTAAAATGAAACAATACAATTGATAACACGCAAAACCCTTTTTAATGTTTGCTTTCATTTTGACATCGCTAACAATAAGAAACATCCCAGCAGCAGTCTCAAGTTAGGACACTTAAAAATGCCTTTTGAGTCTGAAGATGACCAGCCTGCGAAGTCAAGTTTACAGTGTCATAAATGAAATGTGTATAGTGCATGAGTGAAGGAGATTTGCCGCATTAACCTCTCATATGCACTGCGTGTAGGCTGAATGATAATCTTTAAAAATAGATATGCAATACAAAACTTTATACATTTATGTTTTTTAAAATAAAACAGAAAGAAATCAGGAAAGTAAAATATAATTTAAACCACTGGTCTGGCGCTGATACTTTATTGTTTGTAGCGAGAAGAGAAAAAAAAGCAGATAAAAACCTGCCTGGGGAGACGGCATGGATTATCTGTTCTTCAAAAAAGATCGTAGACATGACATTGTGAAGGCGTTAATCATAACGCAGTTCGTGTTTATAATCATTAATATTAACTAATATTTATTGCATATTATTAGCTCTTCTCTCTCTAGACTTGTTCTTGTCGACGCAATAGGTTTATTGATTGGGTGAATCCGATTATGAAGAATGATTTTGTGATATTTATATATATAATGATATTTATCTTTTTTTTTTTTTAAGTAGACGGAACATATTCACGGGCAAAAAAAGTTTCCTCCCTTACCACCAAGAAATAAAGTAGCCTACCTAAGTTAATTGACCTTTTATGTAAAAATTAAGGAATAACTTATAACTTAATTAAATATTAATTAATAAAACATTCGTATAAACGTACATGTTTATTTTTGAACTTTCATTAATAAAACAACACAAAACTGCTTATAAATATTGTAGTTAAATATTAAATAACTGCTTGAAACTGTATAATAATAATTAATTGTTACATATTTAAGAACTTAACAAATAGCCTAAATGGCACTTTACTAATCCGTAATAGTATAAATAGCAATAATTATAAGTCTCCCATTGCAACAACCTCCCCACTCCAGTGTTGGAATGAGACGCGCTCGCACGCACATCGAAGCCATGCAGTATTTACATAAATAAACATGATCACTTCATAAACAATTTAAATAATAACCTTTTATATTAAATCTTGAATTTAAAATGCATTTAGCAGTTTTATATACACTATTATTTTTAAGATGAGCTTATAAATTGTTAGAAACTGTTACAAAACAAAGTCACACTTTATTTGTGCCTCAGATTCACTGTCAAAAATAAATAAGCACTAAATATAAATGCATGTATATAAAATAAAGATGTCACTCTGTAAAAAGGTATTTATTTTAATTTAACAGCTGAAATGCAGAACAGACTTTGATTTTAACTTAAACTGGGAAAAATGCTTTAGAAAAA